AAAATATGTTTTACTGTATATAATCTATACTATGTTATCATATATAATGATATTCTATTATATACTAGAGGTAGAGGTCTGGTGCACAAAATTCATGCATGGTGGGGGGTCCCTCAGCCCAGCCTGCACCCTCTCCAATCTGGGACCCTTCAGGGGATGTCTGCCTGCCTCTCACAATCTGGGACCGCTAGCTCCTAACCGCTCACCTGCCTGCCTGCCTGAATGCCCCTAACCCCTCTGCCTGCCTGATCGCCCCTAACCACCTCTCACTGCCTACCTGATTACCCTAACTGTTCCCCTGCCAACCTGATCACCCCTAATCGCCTCTGCCTCGGCCCTACACCTGGGACCCAGGATTCCCTCCTCTGGCCGGCTGCAGGTACCCGGGACCCGGGCTGGCTTTGCCCAGGCTGGCCACAGCCACAGGGGACTGCAGACCAGAGCTTCTCTCCCTCTCCTGGGCCACAGGCACAGGTGCTGGCACCTGCCTGGAACTGAGGGGCGGGCGGCTTTTCCCAGGCTTGGTTTTGTCAGGAAGGATGTCCGGATGGTTGTCCGAAAGATGTCTGATTTAATTAGCATATTACTCTTTTATTAGTATAGATAATAATTTTCTATTATTATACATATACAGTATGTGTAATTTGCAAATATCTTCTCTTATTAAGTAGGTTGTCTTTCATTTGCTTCAAGATAGTTTCTGATTTCTTGTTTGATCCATTGGTTATTTTTCCTCCATGTATTTGTTTTTTCCTTCTCTCCCCCCCATGCTTTATGTTATCGATGTCATGTTTTAGATCTTTTTGTGGTGTGCCTGGGAACGTGCTATATAAGTCTGGCAGGTAGACCAGAACACCTGGATAGAGCCCCCTGCACACCCTGTGGAGTTGGAGGGGGCTGTAAACAATGGCACTCACTGGTGGTCCTTGGAGAGCTCCAGCCTTCTCTATACTCTCGTTTGTTGTAGAGAAGGTGGCGCTATGTAGAAGAGACCTCTCTGTGGCTCTGTGCTGGCATGCCAGGTGCTCATGGCAGCTGGGGCAGTCAGTAGCTTGCTGAGGAGAGCCTCCTGGCAGGGAGACCAGGGGTGTGTGGTGAGGTGCTGCTGTTCCTGCTTGCTCCCTTTGTTTAGGGACAAAGGGCTCTGGGCAATGTAGCTGAGAAAGCCCTGCTCCCAGGGCAGAGCACCTGAATAGGGCTCCAACCTGCCTGTCGAAGTGGAGTGGGAAGTAAACAGTGGTGCTCAGTTGCTCCTCCGTCCAGAGTTCCCTCAGCCTCCCAGCCTTCTCTATTCAGTCTTTCTCTTGTTTGTTGTTCAGAAACTATTCATTCAGTCCCCAGTTAGTTGTTTTTGTTGTTGTTTTTTGTTTTGCAAGAGTAATTGCTCTCTATCTATGTGTATATTTGACTTTGCTTATGCAGGGGGAGGGCTGTGAGTTCAGCATCCTCCTATGCTGCCACCATGTTGGACCTCCTATTGATCTTTATTATTTGGCTAATTTTCTATGCATCTGTCACTAATCCATTCCCCTTAATCTTTCCTTGAAGTAAAAGCAATATGATTTCCCACCCAGATAAGAATACTTTTAAAGAGACTCACAGAATTCTACAGAACAAGCACATGGTTTTCCAACAAATAAATGGCTCCAAGAAAGGGACACAAAGGAGAAAGTGTTATAAAAGAGGCTAAGAGACTTAGCAGTCAAATGCCACTTGGGGGCCTTTGTTGGGATCATCATTCAAACAAACCAACCGTTCAAAGGCATGTTAAGATAATGGGGAGAGCCCTAGCTGGTTTGGCTCCGGATAGAGCGTAGGCCTGCAAACTGAAAGGTCCTGGGTTCAATTCTGGTCAAGGGCACATGCCTGAGTTTCGGGCTCCACCCCCAGTGGGGAGTATGTAGGAGGCAGCAAATCAACGATTCTCTCTCATCATTGACATTTGTAACTCTCTCCCTCTCTCTTTCACTCTAAAATCAATAAAAAATATATTTAAAAAAAAGATACTGGGGAGAATATGAACATGGATTGGGCCTTAGAACATGGTAAGGAATGTCTAATTGGGTGAGATAATAGCACTGTGGATTATGTTTTTTCAAAACCCTCATCTTTTAGAGATACTAAAATATCTTTGTGTGTGAAAAATTCATTTAAAACATTCCAGGGGGAAAGAAAAGGGTTTGGGAGATATATGCAAGATTGGCCTAATATTGCATGTTTGAAATTTTTCCATAATAAGAAATAAAAAAGGAATTCACAAAGAAATGGAAGAAGGAAAAATGTTGCCTGGGGCTGGCTGTGCATTATGTGAGTTGACTGCAGAAATAAGTTGTTTGATTCATTGGGTACTAGCCCATCTTGGAGGGGCACAGATACAGGATTCTGGTTTTTGAAGCTTGCCGACTCTCCCAGTCTGGGCTGAGAGCAGAGTCAGCAGGAATGGGGGCAGGGCCCTGTGGGTTAAAGAACGTGAGAGGCGCAGGAATATGCTGGCTGACTCAAGACTCCAGACACCCCCGAGATCCCTGGCACCCATCTGTCCCCTTGATGTCCACCATCTTCAGTCTGTGGCTAGCCTACAAGAACCTCTCATAGCCATGATCATGAGAAATCTTTTTTCTTTAATACTCAAGGATATGTTTTTCGTTTTTTTAATTTTTTTTATTTTAGAGGGGAAGGAGAAGGGAGAAACAATGTGAGAGGAAGGAACATTAATCTGTTGCCTGCCATACATATCCTGATCAGGGATGGAACCCACAACCTGGGTATGTGCCCGGACAAGGAATCAAACCTGCAACCATTTCGGTGTACGGGACAATGCTCTAACCAACTGAGCCACACTGGCCAGGGAGCATGAGAGATCTTGATGTCAGCTGCCACGGGTTTATGATCCCACCCTTAACAGCTTTAATGAGATCTCACATACATAAAATTCTCCTACTTATGGTGTATTATTCAGTTCTCAGGATATTCACAAAGTTGTGCAACCATCACCACATTTAATTTTAGAACATTTTTATCACCCAAAAAGAAACCTGTACCCATGAGCAATCACTCTCCATTCTCTGCCACCCAAACCTGGCAACCACTAATCTACCTTCTCTGTCTACGGATTTGCCACTTCTAAACATTTCATAAAAAATAGGCTCACATATACTGTCTTTTGTGATTGGTTTTCATTTAGTGTGTTTCTAGGTTCACAACATAGGTTAAGTTAGCACTTCATTCTTTATCGCTGAATAATATTGCAGTTTGGATGTACCATATTTTATTTATTATTCAGCAGTTGATGGACATTTGGGCTGTATCTACATTCGCTATTATGAATAATGCTCAATGAACATTGGTATATAAGTTTCTGTGTAGACATGTTTTCATTTCTCATCGGTATATATCTACCTAGGAGTGGAATTGCTGGGTCATAAGGAAACTTTATGCTGAACTTTTTGATAAACTGCCAGACTGTTTTCCAAAGTGACTGCCCTATACAATCTCCATTTCACACACAAGGCTGAGGCCCAGAGGGGAAGTGTCTTATGCAAAGCCACGGGCTTAGAGAGCAGGAGCTAATCATATAAATGGCCTCAACTCCACCTGCACACTCTCCTCTGATTTCACTACCATCTATCTCACTGTCACACTCACACTCCTCATGCCCACTTTACCCCTCCATTCCTTTCCCCGCCCAGCAGCAAATCCTCTCACATTGGTTCTTCCCAGAGGCCTCTGCTGCCATATCGGAACCACATTCTCCTCTGTGGAACGATTTAAAGTTGACTTAAAAATTCAACAGTATCCATTTCTTATGTGTGTCTCTTATAAGTTCACTGAAGGATGGATCACACTTTTTACCTAAACTCTTCGGCACTTTTCCACAATAGACACTCCTACCTATTGTCAAAGGCTGTTAATGACCCAAAGAGGCAACATTATTACAAGGCAAAGAGGAGAAAACAGGATGGTTTAATTTGTAGAGTCAAGAGTTGTTTGTTCTTGATTACAGCGTTCAACATGCAAATTACATTCACCTCTTGGTACAGAAATGGCACCCTGCCACTTCCCTGGGAGTTAATTCAGACAGAATTCTTCCCGGGCAACCCTTAACTGTGTCTGCAGCAATCGCCCTTCCTCACCTCTTACAGTGATACGTGAACTCTCTTATGCAGAATAGGAAATGCTGTCTTTCATTCAACTGAGCAGCCATATACAGTATAGCACCATTGATTTGTCAATGGATTTGATATATTCCAGATCAAGACCTCACATTATTTAACCTGTCTATAATGATCCCAAAGGCACTTAAGAATCCGGCAGTGTCTCACAGTCACTGATTTTCACTGGACAGTATTATGAAATAGCAAACGTTTCCTAAGTCTGTCCCGGCCCTGGGTATTCACTCTGAAAAAGATTTATCTGAATAAGGTTTTGACACATTTGCTTTTTATGTCATTCTGTAGGCTCAAAATGAACACAGGGAGCTTCACTTTTTGCTCATCCGTAGTTCTTAAATTTTCTGTAATGAAAATGTATTATTTGTGTAAAGGAAGTTATAAAAATACAAACAAAAAATTAAAGGTAAAATGCTGGGTGTTTGGATCCCATGAAAACAGGAGTCTACTGTGGTTAGAAGTCAGGCTGACTACACATAATAATTAGGTATAATTGAAAACTCCTTTTGCAAAGACTGTATTTTTGCTAAGTTTTATATATTATCACTAGCTTGAGTTTTTCCCCTTTCTCTGACTTTCATTACTAGAGTCGCCAGATGGAAAATTTAAAACATTTTAAAAATAGCTGCTTCTGGGTAAGTCACCCATTACACACTCTTTGTATTCCTCTAGTTTCAAACATAAAGGAACCGGCTCAGACAAGAATGATCCTTGCTGCACATCCGCCAGCTCATGCATCCTCCTTTTTTATTCCGAGAGGTTCCTGCTCAAACGAAAGTTACAAGGTTAAGCGCTACTCCGAGTTCCTGACAGCTAATTCCTGCTTGGTCTTCAAAAAATAGAGGTCTGTAATTCCTTTTTGAACATGCCTTCAAAGTGGAGGTCTTTGGCCATGAGTTCCTCTTCAACATCATCTAGGGCCCACTGGTGATCGGTCAGCTCCAAGGCTTCCCACTCTGTCTGCAGAGAGAACAGCAGGGCAGGGAGAGAGGGGCAGAAGGGCTGTTACTAAGGGCAGTGCTGACCTTCGTGAGCTGCTTATACTTTTAATGTGACATGCAAGAAACCAGCGTCTAATCTAAGGTCACATGCATTTACACCTACATGTTCTAACAGTTTTATAGTTCTTAGATTTAGGTCTTTGGCCCATTGAAAGATGCTTTTTGTGGTAAAATATATATAACAAAAATTTCCTCTTTTAACCAGTGGCATTAATTACATTTCTAAATTGTTATTTATCTAACAATTTCTAAAATTGCTCTCTATTTTTAAATTGCTAAGACATTTTAGTTTTTTTATTTATTGATTTGAGAGAGGGAGAGAAGGTAAGAGAGAGAGAAAGAGAGAAACATAGATTCGTTGTTCCACTTATTTCTGCATTTATTGGTTGACTCTCGCACATGCCCTGACCAGGAATCAAATCTGCAGCTTTAGCATATCAGGATGATACTCTCTAACTGAGCTACCCAACCAGGCCCTATTTCTAAAAATTTTAGTTCCCTGAAACCCAAATTCTGTATCCAGTATGTGTAAGACTACTCTTTTCCCCAATGGATTGTCTTGGCATCTTTGTCAAAAGTGAATTGATATGGATTTATTTCTGAATTCTTAATTCTGTTCCATTGATCTATATCCTATCATTATGCTAATCCCACCCTGTTTTACTATAGCTCCTAAGTAGGTTTTAACACCAGAAAGTCTGAGGCCTCCAACTTTGTTGTTATTCAGCAGTGTTTGGGTTATTCTAGGTCCCTTGTATTTCCATGTGAACTTCAGGATCAGCTGTCCATTTCTGCCAGAAAGGAAGGCGGAATTCTGATAGGGTTTACTTTGAATCTGTGGATCAATTTTGGGAGCATTGCCATCTTGACAATATTAAGTCTTCTAATCCATGGACACGGATGCCTTTCCATTTATTCAGGTATTCTTTAATTTTGTCAGCATGGTTAGTAATTTTCATTGTACAAGTCTTGTATTTCTTTCTGTCTTCTTTTCTCTTCCTGCTACACTTTATTAGGAAGATGACACGGAATCTGGGTACAGGATACACCAGGGTCGCGGGTGAGGGGTCTCCGGGGGATCTCCACGGAGGCCCAGGCTGGGGGAAGTTGCTCTCTTCTACTTGGTGCCTGGAGAAGGGCCTCGTGCAGGACAGGCACTGGCCAAGCAAGACTGCTTCCAGCCACTATTCAACTTCTTGTCTTCGGTGGCCACCTGGACTCGCTCTTCCAGCAGAGAGAGCTTGCTAAGGAGGTCTCGATAGCACTGGTGAAGGCCTCCTTGGGGCTGTCGTTGGGTATGGTCTGCACACGGATAATGATCTTGTGTCCCAAGGGGTGGGGGTCTTTGTAGCCAGCAAACAGCACCTGTGGGTCCTTCAACAGTGATTTAATAATGTTTCCTAGTGTGTGGTCTTCTTTGCTGATGGTCAACAAACAGGCATTGGGTAGGTACCCTGGAGTCCTTGTTAATGATGATCATCTCACCTTCAAACAAGAACGAATCAAGGAAAGAGGAGCATTCATCCTAGTGCTACAGCCACCTCCAAAGTCTCCAAGTCTTGTGTTTATTTTGTTAAATTTATTCCGTAGTGTTTTATAGTGATATTATTGTAAATGGAACTGCTTTCTTTCTTTTTAAAAAAATATATTTTATTGATTTTTCACAGAGAGGAAGAGAGAGGGATAGAGAATTAGAAACATCGATGAGAGTCATCGATCAGCTGCCTTTTGCACACCCCCTACTGGGGATGTGCCCGCAACCAAGGTACACATGCCCTTGCCCGGAATCGAACCCGGGACCTTTCAGTCCGCAGGCCGATGCTCTATCCACTGAGCCAAACCAGTCCTGGCTGGAACTGTTTTCTTAATCTCAGCACCAGATTCTTTATCATTAGTGTGTAGAAATATATATATATTTTTTATATTGGCCTTATATCCTAAGACCTTGCAGTCCTGTTTATTAGCTCTAACAAAGAAAGATAGCTTTACTTCTTCCTTTCTAATCTGCCTTTTATTTCTTTTTCTTGACTAACGTTCCTGGCTAGAACCTGCAGTACAATGTTGAACAGTGGCAAGAGTGGACATCCTTGTCTTGTTCCTGATCTTAGAGGAAAAGCTTTCAATGTGAGTATGGATATTTCACAGATACCTTTCACCAAGATGAGCAAGTTCCCGTCTATTCCTAGTTCTTATAATGAAAAACTAGTGAAATTCTGCTGTACAAAAATTATACTAGATTTTACAAATTATAAAATCATTTCATGAAAAGGCTCGATGTACTGAACTTTTTAAATGAAATTTTCACCTGATGTCTACAGGGTCCAAAAGTTAAAAAATATTCCAAATGTTTACCTAGTGCCTCTGATTGGACTGTTTTTACAGCTTCGTTTAGTGTAGGCTGAATTTGGTGAGCATTTAAAAACTATATAGAAAAAGTACCAAGAATCTCAAATTTACTTAGATGATTCCCTAGGGAGAAGGAGACATGTAAACTAATATACATTTCTGCTAAATTTAAATAATGGAATAATGGACACTACACTCCCTTCAGAGAACCCATCTTTAAAGTAACTCTGAATGCCTTTGGAGCTTCAGTGGAGCTGGAAGGGAGTGTACCTTGAAAGCTTTGTTGGTGTCTGCGGGCATGGCCATGGCTGCTCCGGTCATCTGCTCCTGCATCATCCGTGATTGGTCAGCGGCTGCAGAGTAAGATGCACCTGTATGAGTCCAGGGCTCAGCGGCACCCAGTGTGCTCGGAGGAACAGTCCTTACACAAAACTTACAGATGCTCGGTAGTGGATTAGAGAGCCATATGACACAGTCACTGACTGGTCCTACCTCACACTGGCTATTTGACTCCAGAAAAGTCACTTTACCCCTCTTGAAGAATGGGGATGATAACAGCAGGAGAGAAAAGGTAATGAAAGAAAGCGCTAAACTTTACTTCAAATTTAAACAGTAACAACAGCCACCAGTTATTGAACAACTATTATACACCAAATACTTCACTAGGTAACTTTACAGATTCTACCTCATCTACTCCTAACAACAAACCCTGAAGTTATTTAAGGTTCCTATATTACGTCAGAGGATTAGAGAGGTTAGGTAACTTTGCCTGAGGTCCCAGCCATTAAGTGAGACAGTCGGGACACGTACTGGCAAGAAATCTCGTCACTGCACTAACTAATCAAACCAGGCCTCCTTCCAGCTTCCATTTTGCAGGCTTACATTGCTGGTGTGGATCCCTCATTTGAGGGTGTCAGCCTGTGAGGGACTACATCTTGTCCCTATTATTATCAGGGAGATCTCAGATCTTTAGTATGACCCTGGAATTTTTAAGACTTTTAAAAATACCTCAGAAACTTAGTAAATTTAAAGAATGAAGGATTGTATTTGACTATGCTAACAAATAGTATAGCCTACATGATTTTTTTGCCTCTGGCATGGAGGATTCATCTATCAGAGTATTTGCTTATTAAACCTGATGTGCTCCTTACCATTATCTTGGCCCAAAATCAGAGAGTAAATGCTCCGAAGCCCAAAGACATTGAGGAAATACCAGGATGCAGAACTCACCCTAAAGCAAAGTGAAGAAATGTAGGTAGTTAGGTCAGAATTAAAGTAATTCACACTTTGCTAACACCCAAAGTTGTTCAGAGTATGTAAGAAATCACCGGGAGTAAGCTATATTCATTCAAAGCACAGTCAAAGAAGAAATACAAGTTGTGAAGGCAATCTTACAATTGTTATCGCTTCCTGCAGGTAAAGTGCCACTTAGAGCTATGGAATAAATTCTGTCTTCAGTAGCAGAACTGAACTCACAACTGGTGTGCCTCCTTTTAGTTAGAGACTATAAGCTTTGCTTAATTTTCCATTCTCTCCTTTTGTAAGACTCAAAAGAAAGTTCTTACCAGGATGCATCTAATGTGAGTAGTTCGATTCCTTGCTGTAGCATCGGCTTAAAACGGAGGGTCAGTGGAAACGGGACCTTGGCTGCAAAGAAAGAAAATTTCATAATCAGTCCTAGCTTCTTTATTTTTAGAATAGTAAAACTGTGAATGCATATATTCTTTCCCGGAAGAGGTAGGAACTCCGGACGATACAGAGTTGGGAAAACTTGTCACTTTCTGAAGAAATACATCAAATGCCATTCTTCCTTGAATACTAGCTTCTCTATTGCTTAAGAAGCAGGGATTCAAACTGAGCTGTGACCTAAAATCTGAAGTGGAATATATATATCGAAATACACAGAGAACTACCATTACTAAGAAACCAAATTAATTCAAATTAAATCAATACAATTTATAAACAAGTAGACAAATGACTCACCCCAACACCTAGAAAATGATGTCAAAATATAAATGGGCTTCCCTTTATCCTGCTCAACTAAAACACTAAATTAGTTTCAGATACAAATTAGCAAGCTAGGGACAGAGAACCAGAAAAGTCGTTTGAATTTCTTTTAGTAAGGCCCCATCGTGTAATTGTTAGCCCTCTGGACTCTGAATTTCTTTTAGTAAAAAAGCATCAACATTATGAACTTAGCAATCAGTTTGTAATAAGAACCATAAAATCGTAGCATATTAATTTTTAAGGGTGTTGTTACCAGTTTCCACTACAGAACATAGGACTCATGATGTTAGCACTTTGATTTCTCTGAACAGGGAGAAGGGAAAGGAGCACAGATGAAATAAACCCAAGTCTTGTCAGTGGTGACTTACTTGTGACAAAGCCTGAGAATGTCATGTTGATCCATCCGCCAATGAGAATCATAGGGAGAACGTTTGTTACATTGCCTTTCATCATGTCCGTTAGCATAGTGGGATCTAAGACAAAAACACAGGAGACCACTGCATCTTACCACTGCGGGCAGGGGCTTCCTCCTGATTTTCTGTAAACTTTATTTGATAATTAAAGTAACACAAGTTCATTGTAAAAAACTCAAATGACATACAAAAAGGATGTAGATGGTTCCCCGGAGTCCATTCTCTAACATTTTCAACTGTTGCATATCCTTCCATCGTTTTATTTACTCATACACACAGGAGTTTCATACATATACACACACACACAATAGAGGGATATTATGCTTCTTCTTCTTCTTCTGTTTTGTTTTTTAGTTTCACCGAGGATATGTTTATTGATTTTAGAGAGAGAGAGGGTGAGAGAGAAACATTGATCGGTTCCCTTCCATATGCAACCAGGGATCAAACCTGCAACCTCGGTATGTGCTCTGACCAGGAATCAAACCCACAACATTGATGTACACAGTGACGCTCCAGCCAACTGAGCCACCAGGCCAGGGCACTTCTGTGCTTCTTAATTTAAAAAATTAATATGTTGTGAATGCTATTTCCACATTGGTATAATAACTCTCATTATTTTTAATGTCTGCATAGAAATCCACACTGTGGTCACAGTCATCACTACTGAGTGAACCTATAGATTGCTTCCAATTTTTTTTTTTTTTTGCCAATAAACAATGCCGTCATCAACTACCTTGTATGTAAATCTGCATATTTTTGTTGATACTGTCAGATTGTCCTTTAACAATTTTGAGAGAGCATTACTTCCCATGACCTTGATAGTAGCAACTTTGGTCAAGCTATCAATCTTTGCCAATTTAATGGGCTATAAAGGATATCTTGTTTTAATTTGTATTCCATATATTTTAGTAGGTCAAGCATCCTTCTGTAAATTTATTGGTCTTTTGTTTATTGTAGGTTTTCTGAAAGATTTATAGTAACTTCTATCTGGGTTTAAAATAGCTAGCTGGTCATCTCACCAAAAGAAATGGATACTAACACGAGAGCACAGTGAGTATGGGTTAATAACTTTTGTTTCACTTTAAAGATGCTGTGTTTTTCACATGACAGGGGTCAGTGAAAGTAAGAAATCTGTTAGAGTAAGAATTGTAGGCTGGCCCATGGCTGGTCTGGGTAAGTAGGGAGAACTCCCTCATCCAGCAGAAGCGGCATGGCCATCCGTCAGCAGCAGAGCCGGGCCCTGGGTGGGAGCCCAGCTTTTCCAGCTGTGCTCAACGGAGCCCTGGGCTCTGAGCAACTGCAAAGGGAAGAGACCCAGGGACAATGGCTCTAGTCTCTTCAATCCCTTAGCTGAGAGTTCTTTATTTATTTTCTTTTTAAAAAAATTTATTAGAGAGGAAGGGAAAAAAGAGAAAAATATCAAAAAAAATTTTTTTGGTTCTGCTTATGCATTCATTGGTTGACTTCTTCTTCTTTCTTCTTCTTCTTCTTTTTTTTTTTTTTTTTTTTAATATATTTTATTGATTTCTTACAGAGAGGAAGGGAGAGGGACAGAGAACCAGAAAAGTCGATGAGAGAGAAACATTGATCAGTCGCCTCCCGCACACCCCCATGGGGATGTGCCCGCAACCAAGGTACATGCCCTCGACTGGAATCGAACCCGGGACCTCTCAGTCCGCAGACCGATGCTCCACCATTGAGCCAAACTGGTTTCGGCCATTGGTTGACTCTTATATGTGCCCTGACCGGTGAGCAAACCTACAAACAGTGTTACCAGGACGATATTTTAACCAACTGAGCTACCCAGCTAGGGCCTGAGAGTTTACGCGCGCACGTGCGCGCGCACTCTCTTTCTCTCTCTCTCTCTCTCTCTCTCTCTCTCTCTGTTTTTTTTTTTTTTTTTTTTTTCCTTTTGGTTAATCCTCACCCAAGGATATTTTTTTCCACTGCTTTTCAGAGAAAGTGAAAGGGAGGGAAGGAGAGGGGGAGAAAGAAAGAGAAAAACATCGATGTGAGAGAGACATATTGACTGGGTGCCTCTCCCACACACCTCAACCAGGAATGGGGAACTAATTGCACCCCAGGTATGTACTCCTCCCTGACTTGGAATCGAATCTGAGACCCGTTGGTGCACGGGCTGACGCTCTAACCACTGAGAAACACCAGCCAGGGCCCGAGAGCTCTTTTTAAAATCCACTTTATACTTTGGAGTTCCCAGAACACTTATTTGGAAAAGAGAACACTGCTTCCGTAGATTGCTGTGCTAGATGATATCTAAGGTCCCTTAGATTACTATCTTCAACAGCTGAACACCGAAATCAAATGACACATTCTGACCCCTCTGTCCCCCACTCATGTAAAAAATCTTCCTTGAAGATGAGAGAAAAGAATAAACATACCAGTCATAGGAGAAGGAGGCACCACCTTCCTTTTAGTTTTTTTGAAAAATCCATCCTCCGGGTTGTTGAAGTAATATTTTCGTGTCAGGAAAGACTAGTAGAAAAAAAGAGCTTTTTAAATCTTAAAACTGTGACATAGCAAATTGTCAAGTTATTCCCCAGAGGTGTGGTCAGAAGGCCCTTGGAATATGCTGTTATACGAAGAGCTGACAGCCCACTTGGCAGCTGAGCTGACATTTTAGCTGAATCACATTTAAAAACAATCTCCTAAGAAGGATGAGGTCACAATGACAGCAAACACCGTCAGGCCACAGCTTAATTCCTGACTTGCCAGCCGTCAGTTTTCCCCAAAGAGTCCCCTTATAAAACATTCCGGTATCTACTGCCTTCAACAGTGAATCGTGGGACTTTAAATAAAAGATAAATGAGTACCTGTTTGGGAATGTATTTTCCATTTTCCCTGAGGACTCTGCTTCGAATTAGGACTTGACTGAAAAATAAAACCAAGACAATGAGATTTTTATAAAAGTGAAACACTAGAAGAAAACAAGAGAATAAAGTAGAAGACCTATTTAAACACAAGAGAGGGCCTATTTGGCAACAGTCCGGTATGGAAACTTTTCAAACCAGAAGTATCTTTAAAACCAATCTAACAACCCCCAAATCAGGTTTTCAAAAGAGCATTTTTCAGAAGTGACTGTGTTTCTGAACAAAGATTTCTGAAGAAGGCACATTTGGAACACCTTTCTCTTAATTTATGAGCTAAGAAGGCACTTTTCTCTGAGTGAAAAGAGTAGCAGTTGGATGCTTCTCAGATGATTTGGAGGCAGGAGCGGGGAGGAAGGGTGAGGACTGAAGGAACTTTTTAAGTTCCAAAGAGAAATGAGTACAGGACTTGACAGGGTTGCTATCTGACAGACAACAAATAGAAATTTCACCCAGGACTCAGACTGTTAGTAAGCGCTCAATAAACATAAAAGTAAAAAGTGAAATTATTTGGTGATATTTTAACATAATTGATCATTAAAGATAACAGTGCAATACAAGTGGGTGGTGCTAAGCTACAAATAGTAAACAGAATAGTGATCAAAATACTAATTTTTTTCCTGGTTTTCAAAAGCTTTTTACAAAAATTCATTGATTTTAGAGAGAAGGGAGAAATAGAGAAACAATGATTTGTTGTTTACTTATTTATGCATTTATTGGTTAATTCTTATATGTGCCCTGACCAAGGTTCAAACCAGTAACCTTGGTGTATTGGGACAACACTCTAACCTTCGGAGCTACTGGATAAGGGGATTCAAAAGCTGTTTTAATTGGGGGGTTGGAGGGGGAGCCTATTTAGCTTAATGGAAATCTTTCTTGAAAAAGGGGGGGGGGGGGGAAGGAAAGATTGTAACAGAAATGAACACAAGAAAACTGTGCTTGGTTTTCTCTCTGCTCCTCAGCATAAACCACCTGCTCTAAGCAGTAGGTCAATACCCTTAGGATCTCTTTGTCATATTCTAGTTTTCTCCATGTGCTGGGAGTTTTCTAATGCCCCTCCCCTTCACCTTCTTCAAGCTCCATCTTTTTTATTTTTTAAAATATTTTATTGATTTTTTTATAGGGAGGAAGGGAGAGAGATAGAGAGCCTGAAACATCAATGAGAGAGAAACAATGACCAGCCGCCTCCTGCATACCCCCCACCGGGGATGTGCCAGCAACCAATGTACATGCCCTTGACCGGAATTGAACCCTGGACCTTTCAGTCCACAGACTGACGCTCTACCATTGAGCCAAACCGGTTTTGGCAAGCTCCACCTTTTCTATGGAACTCTTCCCAATGCCTGTTGCCCTCATGGAATTCTCTCTGGTCTTCCTCCGTACTGTATGGTTGACTGTTCCAAGCACAGACTAACCGAGGTGACATGTAATATGTTCTGTTCCCTGGAAGCTAGTCTAACGCTACTCAAAGTATGGCCTATGTACCAATGCTGATCTGTGATAAAGGTTTAGAGAAGTTTATAGTAATTTGACATTGTTACAAGATCCAGATATATGATCACAATATTTTATAAGCCGAAACTGGTTTGGCTCAGTGGATATAGAGTTGGTCTGTGGACTCAAGGGTCCCAGGTTCGATTCCGGTCAAGGGCATGTATCTTGGTTGTAGGCACATCCCTAGTGGGGGGTGTGCAGGAGGCAGCTGATCCATGTTTCTCTCTCATCGATATTTCTAACTCTCTATCCCTCTCCCTTTCTCTCTGTAAAAAATCAATAAAAATATATTTTAAAAAATATTTTATAAAAGCATCAGTCTGTGATAGATTGGAAATTGAAAAATTAAATCAAGGTAAGCTTTAATTATCCTATATATTATAAGCACCCACTTTCTTAAACTGAGATCCACAGATGTATTCTCTGAGATTTGCAAATTCTACAAAAAATTTTTAATTTTCATTTCCATTAATATCTAAAAATAAGTCCTAGTACTCGTTATCGAGATAAAGCTTTTTTTCACAGTGGTAATTTGCAACTGAAATACATTTTTTTAAAAGATTTTTAAAAATATATTTTTATTGATTTTTTTACAGAGAGGAAGGGAGAGAGATAGAGAGCTAGAAACGTCGATGAGAGAGAAACATTGACCGGCTGCCTCTTGCATACCCCCTACCGGGGATGTACCCGCAACCAATGTACATGCTCTTGACGGGAATCAAACCTAGGACCTTTCAGTCCGCAGACCGACGCTCTACCACTGAGCCAAACCGGCTTCGGCTGAAATACATTTTCTTAAAATAAAAGTTTAGTTTTTAAAGTTATTATTTCTCAAAGTGGAGTTCCATATTTTTAAAGATCAGGGTGTTTTTGTTTTGTTTTTCCTTTCAAAGGGTCGTTATATTCTTCAAGCTTGAGAACTACTTTTTACATACATTCTATCCTTAAATATGGTCTAATAGATTTTATTTATGGTTTGGTTTAATACATTTTAGAAAAAATTTTAGTAAGTTTTGAGGCAGTAACAGTTAATAATTTATGAAACCCAACATCCCATTTTGTGATCATTCAGGTTACTGGAAACTTATACTGTACTGAGAGGAATGTTTTGCAACTAAAAGACATTTTTTGCCTTGGACTTCGGCCAGTCCAGAATCATGTGGTCAGCATTCTACTCAAGTTCAAATGATGACCTGGTGGGGTATAGTCACACCATTGTCAGAGATGGCATAACTTCCTTAAGGGATGGAGCAATTATGACCAGAAATGTTGAGTTTTCTTTAAAGCAGTGGTTCTTCATGTAGGTGGCACTGCCCTCTAGAGGGCATATGGAAACCTGTGGAATTTTTTAGTGTCAGTTAAGGGATGGAGAGAAAGCACTAAGCTTCCTCAGTGCTGGGGACAGATGTGCAATACAAAGAACTGCCCCATGTCTCACACTCCCTGCTATCTCATCAAACTGGTTTTAATCATCTGAGCCTCAAACCTAATTCCATTTTTTTGCAATTGTTGGGTGGGACGATTTTTATGTATACTGAATTTCCAGATATGCAACCAGCATGTAAATATAGGAAAAACTGCACTCTGTTGTGTTCAGAACTTTATCAAGAATAGTTCACCACTTAGGAAAATCACATCCAAGCACTGCCTTCTGTTACATCTACCGGTAAGTAGCTAACACAGTGTATCAGCCTACAATTGAATCTGCCCCAATTTATAGGGATTTTGTAGCTAGGTGATTGCACCTGACCTCCAGTACACCTTCTCCAGGACTGTTTATGCACAAGTACTTATGAAGCAGAATTTAAATTATCTTCCTTTTATTTCTCACAATTTTTGCCTTTATGTAAAGCAAGTATGTCAAACTCGTGGCCAGTGGGCCGCATGCCTCCTTTATTTAAACTAGGCATATGGTCCACTGGCCGTGAGTTTGACATGCTTGATGTAAAGCCTTACGTTGCCTTTTTTTTTTTTTTTTTTTAATTCTTGTATAGAGTGCATCAACTGTGAATTTCATTTTGGGTTATAAAAGGGAGTTTTGGGTCTGATGTCATTCAGCATCATAACTCTGAAATCACAAGTTGAATCCGGAGCAAAAATTGTGGCAGAGAATCTATGACAGCAGGAACTGTAGTCAAGAGAATTTAAGTTGACTACAGGCACAATATTTTACTATTTGGTTATTTAGGGAAGGCTACTTAACTTTCTCAAGTTCCCTTTTCTTCAAATGTAAAAATGGTTCAGGATTATTTATTTTAGTGTTAATTTGGGGTAAAATGCAAACTGTTTATTGGTATCAATACATAAATAAATGCTGACTGATCTCTCTCCACTTTACATCTTTTTGTTTGCGTGTGTATGTGTTTTTTTAATCCTCCTGAGGATATTTTTTCTATTGATTTTTAGAGAGTGTGGAAGGAAGAGGGAAGAGGGATGGAAGAAGGATGGGAGGGAGGGAGGGATGGGAAAAGAGAAAAGGAGGGAGGAAAGGAGGGGAGGGGGAGAGGAAAGAGAAGTGGAGAGAAAGAAACATTGATGTGAGAGAGATACATTGATTGCCTGCAATTGAGGTACCCTGCCAGGGCTACTTTACATCTTTGTATAACCTCCCTTCCTGAGGTGAACTGACTTCTTAAGGTTCTCTACAGGAGGTTGGTTCTGTCAGTTCTGAAACTGATGCCAAAGAAAAGTTGAGTGGCTTCTGTGGCATAGTGGAAAGAACTACAGACTCGGGAACCAGAAGACTTGGAGTTAAGTCCTGAATGTCACTGTGAGTGACCATGGAACCTCTTAACCCTTAGTATCTATAAAATGGCTCAGTGGTTCAGCATCGACCTATGAACCAGGAGGTAATGGTCCGATTCCCGTTCAGGGCACATGCCCGGGTTGTGGGTTTGATTCCCAATGTGGGATATGCAGGAGGCAGCTGATCGATGATTCTCTCTCATCATTGATGTTTCTATACTTCCCTCTCTCTCTGAAATCAATAAAAAAAATATATATTTAAAACAAAATTTTTAAAAAACAAGATATTATCTACCACAGAGTTGTTTTAAATTTTAAATAAGTTAATATAAGTGCTTAGCATAGACTAAGTGCTTAATAAATGTTGGTTTATTATTATTCTCAGAATAATTGGAAAGCATAACTGAAAATGATAGCAGTCCTTTCCAAACTTCATTCCATGGTTATTATTCTTATCTTACTTACCTAGCACTAATACTATTAAAAACTTAGTATTTCTTATGTATCAACTTTTCTACTTATATAAGTTTTAAAAGAAATCCTCAAATTACCAGCAAATGTAAAATCAGTATTACCTGCCACAAATAGTAACTGTAAAAAATAGATACAATAAAAACAAAACAAAGTGATTAAATTTTAGCTACAAACTGTTGCCCGTGTAAAGTCCTGAACCTGAAGCTTGCTCTCTGTTAAAAAGAGAAATTAATAAATGCTATGGAAGTGTTAAAGACATAACAACATTTACCTGAGATAAACTCTGAAAATAGTTGGGACGATTGATTGAAAATGTTTATTTTAATATGGAGGGGCACACGTCTAGATACCACCTACAACCAATCTTAAATTACCTCTTTTTGCAAATATTGTAATGAAGCACACGAGGAAGAATTGCCTTCACTCCAGTAGGGGAAATGATCATCACAATCCCTCACAACTCTATAGTTTGTGTTTGCCAAGCTCTTGGATAGTTGGTATCTCAGCTAACCACCACAGTACTTTGGTAAAACGAGTATAAAAACACCTCCTTAGGTATAGCTCATAGATAAGGCTGGCGACTAGCCTCACACTATTCATAAGCAACCTCATTTTGAACCCTTAATTCACCCCAGCTAAAGTCTTCTATAGACATCATCTAACATTTAATCCCCACCCCTGCTCTATGAGGCATATCCTGTTATCATTCACATCTGACAGATGACGAGAGTGAAGCATAGAGCTGCTAACTCAGCCCAGGTCCCCCCGCCCGTGGGAGCGCGATGTAGAAATCAGGGGAAACTGACAGGACCCCCGCACTTTGTTGCTCAAGGTCACGGGGGGAGTGAGATCGCCGGGTCCGGAGGGCGCTGACCTGTCGGAGACTTGTTCCTGGGTGAGCTTTTTGTCGCTCTGCAGCAGGATGGACACGTAGTGGCGGATCATGCCCACGAAGAAGGTGATGATAACGATGGGCAGGACCACCCAGAGGCGGATGTTGGAGTCGAGCAGCAGCTCCGGCCCCGCCATCTTCACAAAGCGCCGGCTCCTGGCCTGGGGCAGCTGGGTTCCTCTTCTCACGGGGCCCGGGATCCCACTCGAGTTCGCCTCCGAGCCTTCTCACGCCCTCAGCCTGGCTGGCGCGGGACCCCACCGCAGATTCAGGCCCGGCGTACTGACCCTCGCCGGGGGCCGCGCGGCCGCCTACTTCCGGCGCGGAAATTTGAAGTCACGACGACGCGCCGCGCCTCGGTGACGTCAAGGCGGCGCCGCGCCGGGCGGGAAAGGCTTAAAGAAGGGGTGGGGACGGCCAGTTGGTGTGTGTTTGGAGCTGCGATCGTTTCTCGACGCTTCGTTCCCCTGCGGCCTGGCTGCAGGCCCAGGGCAAGCTCGGCCTTTCCCTTCGGGGTTCCGCGCCCTACCTCGGCTTCCTCACCCGCTCTGTCGTGGGATAGACCTTCAGGTACCTCCCTGCGTCGCTAAAACCGCAAAACGAGAAGGTCTTTTATCCCCAACCCCTACTCCGCTGGCCTAGGCCCGGTAGCCGGCCCCATCTTCCCATCTTTCAGGCTTCTCTGTAAACCAGGTGGTGGCATATAGTGAAGGGCGGGCCTGATTTGGCTTTGTTTTGTTTTTTCTCCTGCAAAATGGCAGACGACCCCCATGGAACCTGGGCCCCTTCAGTCCGCAGGCCGAGGCTCTATCCACTGAGCCAAAATGGCTAGGGCAGGAAAGCATTTTTAAAAAAATATTTTTTATTGATTTCAAAGAAAAGGAGAGACGCAGAAGCATCAATGATGAGAGAGAGCCCTAACCGGTTTGGCTCAGTGGATGGAGCGGCGGCCTGTGGACTGAGGGGAGTCCGGGGTTCTACTCCGGTCAAGGAAATGCACCTTGGTTGCGGGCCCATCCCCAGTAGGAGGCTGCTGATCGATGTTTCTCTTTGATTGATGTTTCTAATTCTCTCTCTTCCTCTCTGTAAAAAAAAAAAAAATCAATAAAATATATTTTAAAAAGTGATGCGATTCATTAAGCTGCTGCCTACTGGAGTTCGAGTCTGCAGCCTCGAACATGTCAGCATGTGCCCTCAACAGTGACCTCCTGGTTCATAAGTGGACGCTCTACTACTGAGCCACGCTGGTGGGGCTCAGGGGAAAAAAAATGTTTTTCAGAAAAAAATTTTTATACCAGTTATTGTGCTGGGTACTAGGGATACTGAAATAAATGACACTGGGTTCCTGCTTTCAAGGAGATCTACAGTTTAGTATGATGTGGAAAGGGCTCCTAGATACCTCAGTGGAGCAGAAAAGCTGGAATAGCAAACTGCCTTGGGGAGAGGAACATTTTTCTTTCTTTTTTTTTAATCCTCACCTGAGAACATGTTTTCATTGACATTTAGAGAGAGAGAGAGAGAGAGAAACATAAGTTAGTTGCCTCCTGTATATACCCTGACTGGGAGTCCTACTGGCGATCTTTTGGTGTATGGGAGGACACTCCCAACTGGGGCATGAGGAACATTTTTTCTTAATTTATTATTTTTATTGATTTCAGAGAGGCAGAGAGAAGGAAAGAGAGTTGGAAACATCAACGATGAGAGAGAATCACTGATTAGCTGCCTCCTGCACGCCCCACGCTGGGGATCCAACCTGCAATCAGGGCATGTGCCCTGACCTGGTTCATAGGTTGATAACCACTGAGCCACGCCAGCCGGGCTAGAGGAACATTTTTCAGGGAAGATGACATTTAATTGAGTCTTTTAGGATGAATAGTAATTTCCAGGCAAATAGGTAAGAGCGTTTGGGGTGAAAAGAACACTTTTCTGGTTTATAGGATAGGCTAGAAGGCCCTGTGTTTCAGGCCCTTTACTGCCTCTGCTGCCTCATTTCTAATTCTACAAGCTCCTTCCTGTCTCACTGGAGTTTTTCTCTGCCTGGACTACTCTTCTCGTACCTCTTCTGCTGTTTCAGTCCTCAGGTCCCTGCTTAAAGTCACTTTCTCAGAATCTGAGAAATTGTCACTACTTTTCACCACCACCACCACCCTAACTAGACTTAATTTCCTTGTAAGCCCTCGTATCAGCCTGTGTTTTTCTTGTATAGCACACAACAGTACAGTCATGTGTTGATTAATCATGGGAATATATTCTAAGAATTGCATCCATAGGCAATTTCATCATTGTGCGAACATCATAGAGTGTACTCAACACAAACCTAGATGGTCTAGCCTACTGCACACCTAGGCTGTGTGCTATAGCCTCCTGCTTCTAGGCTATAAGCCTATATTGCATGTTGCTATCCAACACAACACAAGATTATATCAAGCAGAAGTGAAAATGATGTCATCAAGCGGTACACACTAATGTATGAGGCTGCTGCTGTGCACACAGCAAGTTTTATAGCAAATCTTTTTTAATTTTTGTTTTTTTTAAATTTTTTAAATTAAATTATTATCTTTGTACATATACCATTGCCCCCCTCCCATATATGCCCTTCCTCCCGCAAATCTTTTTTAAAATGAAATAGTATACTCTAAGTAATGATAAAATTATAGCATAAACCAATAACAGTTGCATATTATCATTATCAAACTGTTATATATTATACATAATTTGTATGCACTATACTTTTTTATAACTGGCAGCATAGTAAGTTTGTTTATACTAACATCACTACAAATGTGTGAATAATGTATTGCACTATGACACAATAACAGCTTTTATGTTACCAGATAATAGGAATTTTTCAGTTCCATTATAATCTTGTGGGACCATTGTGGTATATGTGGTCTATCATCTGAAACATCCTTGTGCAGGGCAAGACTGTAGTTAAATAATTATATGAAGACTACTCATTACTGTGAACTCTGAGGTCAGGCATCATGTCTGGTTCATAATTATAACCCCAGAACCTAGCACAGTCCCTAATGTATAGTGTTGTATTATATATATATATTTTTTTTTTATTTAAAAAATATATATTTTATTGATTTTCTACAGAGGGGAAGAGAGGGATAGAGAGCTAGAAACATCGATGAGAGAATCATCAGTCAGCTGCCTCCTGCACCCCCCCCACCGGGGATGTGCCTGCAACCAAGAAAGGCACATGCTCTTGACTGGAATTGAACCTAGGACCCTTCAGTCTGCAAGCCGATGCTTTATCCACTGAGCCAAACTGGTTTTGGCTATATATATATTTTTATTTATTTTTTACAGAGAGGGGAAGAGTTAGAAACATCAATAAGGGAGAATCATCGATCAGCTGCCTCTTGCACACCCCCTACTGGGGATGTGCCCACAACCAAGGTACATGCCCTTGTCCGGAATCAAACCCGGGACCTTTCAGTCCGCAGGCCGATGCTCTATCCACTGAGCCAAACCTGTTTCGGCATGTGTTGTATTATTAAATTATAGGAGAGAGTTTGGGAATAGAAGATGAAGGATCTTGATTGTTAGAGAACTGTGGGTTTTATCCTTCGGCAAGAGGGAAGTGGTCTGGTTCTGACCTGGTGCCTCAGTTAGCTGGAGCGTTATCTAGTATACCAAAAAGTTTCAGGTTTGATTTCAAGTCAGGCACATACTTAGGTTTCCTGGCTGGGGTGCATATGGGAGGCAACCAATCGATGTTTCTCACATTGATATTTCTCTCTAAAAATCAATAAAAACATGTCCTCTGGTAAGGATTTAAAAAAAGGAAATAATCTGACTAAAAAGACAACTGAGTAAACAAGTCTTGAAAGCAAGAGAGTATTGACCATATATAGGGGTTGAAATTTTCTCAACACCTTAATTTAGATGGCATTAGTGTAAATACTAGAACCACTTCAGTTTTGAATAGTTTTCTTTGAGCCATACCTTTAACCTCTCAGAATTTATCTAGCTTTGAGAAAGTCACTTCTGTTCTCTGATTTTGCTGTAGAAAATAATTTAACTGCAGAAAATTGGTCAAAATGGTTTCCAAAAGACGACTATCAAAATCTGAGGATAAAGAAACCCTGAAAGAAGATGCCTCTAGTAAGTATCTACTCATTTGCTGCTGTATATTTTTTTTATAGCAAATCTGTGTGGCAGCATTTCATCTTTTCTTATGGCTGAATACTTTTCCTTTATACCACATCTTTATCCAATCATAATGGGATACTACGCAGAAATAAGGAAAGATAAAGTACGGTATTTGTGACAACTTGAGTGAATTTTGAGAGTATCATGCTAAGTGAAATAAGTCATATTGAAAGCTTAAGAACAATATGATCTCACTTGTGTGAGATATAAAACAGAAAGCAACAAATGAACAAACAAAAACTTATAGATAATAGTATGGTGGCTATCAAAGGGGGAAGTGAGGATGGGGATAGATTGAAGAGGGTAAAAGGGGTCACATATATGGTGACAGAAGGAACCTTTACTTTATGGTGAGCACACAATGCAATATACAGATGATGTTTTATAGAATTGTACATTAGATACTTATATAGTCTTATTAACCAGTCATCCCAATAAAATTAATAAAAGAAACATGTGAGGCACTTAAAGAGATATGATGTTCCTATTTTCAAATGCTGGGAGTCATCAAGGCTTAATGGATAGAGCACACAGAATTTATATCAGGAGATTTGGGATTGACTTTCTGCCTTTGATTCCATGTATGACTTTGGGCATGCCTACAGTCTCTTGATTATCAGTTTCCACATCTATAAGAGGAGTTAGTATTATAGAACTTACCTATTATACATTATCTAAGTGCTGGGATACAAAGATACAATATAGTCCCAACCCTTTAAAAAAGACTTATGGTTCTCTGCCTTAAAAAAGTTATGATCTAAATAAAATGCTCTGATAGTGATAATATAAAGAAAGGCATCATACAAAGGAAGCAAAGAAATAGACTCTGTGCATGTGAGAATGTGGTTGACAGAGGGCCAAGAGTTCTGACAAGAAGTTGATAGTTTTTCATTTATTACACTCATCTACCCTATTACGGTGATTCTAACTTGTGTCAGGGGAGAAGAGTGGGAATGTAATCATGTTTAACATC